AAAATGGATGGAATGAAAGACAAAGTTAATGTCACAAAACCTGCTGAAAATCACAGTTTAGCTGCAGATGTAGTGAAACTGGTCCCACCTCTGCGTTGTGCTGGTTATTGTAATAATTAGGCCGTGACACAGTTTAACTCGGGCGTGGCTGATTTCCCCATTTCTTCTGACAAAACAATAAACAGAAGTTGTTTTTATTAACCTTTATTTAACCAGCAAACCCCACTGACATCACAGATCTGTTTTGCAGGGGAGGTCTGGACCTGAAGGCAGACTTAACATGCATGTTTTTGGTCTGTGGGAGGAAACTGGAGTACACGGAGAAAACCCACACATGCACAAGAAGAACATGCAAACTCCACCCAGAAAGGCCCCAGGTCCAACTGGGGATTGAACCCAAGACCTTCATGCTGTGAGGCAACAGTGCTAACCACTGAGCCATCATGCCGCCAATGAAAGATAATCATGTTATCGCCCACCCGCTCCAAGTTCTACACAAAGGCAAAATATACAAACAAAACTCAAATCAATTTCAACTACTTTACAATAAGTTCACTTCAATATTTTCATTATATGATGGAGTTACATATTATAATGGACACCCACCTCTCTCACAGGACAACTGTACAAAAGGGTTGTAAGTGGCACAAACTATTGAACAAAAACAATACCACAGAAGAAGAAATAAAAAGGAGCGGCTCTTGATCTGAAAAACATGCTTATATCAATCACAGTGGTTTTTAAAAGTATTTAGTCAGGTACATGTACAATCCGAATAACAACAGACAATTTGTGTAATTATAACAAAATACAACACGGTTACATTAGCTTTAGCTGCGATTAATCTGTTGTCAACTTAAGACGCAAAGCATTATGGGTGTACAAGTGACAGGGTTTTAGAGTTCCATATAATGGATGGAAAGTTCAAAGAGCCCTGCAAAATGAGAGGGAACAATTAATGCAGTGTGGGTATCCATCTACAGCGGGTAAGATACTAACTGTTCAGACAGTGTGGGTATCCATCTACAGCGGGTAAGATACTAACTGTTCAGACAGTGTGGGTATCCACCTACAGCGGGTAAGATACTAACTGTTCAGGCAGTGTGGGTATCCATCTACAGCGGGTAAGATACTAACAGTTCATGCAGTGTGGGTATCCATCTACAGCGGGTAAGATACTAACAGTTCATGCAGTGTGGGTATCCATCTACA